CATTAAGAGCGCAGTCCATGATATATTCATCAGGCGAAGTGCAACGAAAACCGGGTTCATGGTCGTCGTCGAAGGCTATTTTTTCCGAGAGCGGGAGGCCGGTCTGAGTGGAGTTCCAGCTCAATTTTCGAGACAACCTGTTGGTGAATATCCCCACTGAGAGGCCATGAGCAGGCAGCTAGCATGTCATGAAATTTTCAGGAGACGTTCAAAAGGGATGAAGAAATAAAACCAATGCCTCACTTGGATCTTGTACATGCAGTTGTCACAAATCATAATTACGGCATGATACATATTACTGCTAGACGGGCATTGAAGTTTGACAGAGTCATATGTGTAACAGAATCCTTTAGACTTTCTATTAATATTACGACACAGAAACCACTCAGAAACCACTCATAAGTGTGACGCTATTACAGATGACACTATCAATTAATTAATTATCATCAATAGACACTCAAGGTCAAACTATTATGGCGTTATTTCTGAATAAGATTCCTAGAATATGATTACAATTACTTTCCAAAAATTCAATTCAACCGAAGATGATTTCTATGGGCCGTACAATCAGGTATTGAAGTTGTCTTTGAGATAATGGTTTGAAAATAATTGCGATAGTGTTCTAGCAGTACATTCCCTAGATTTAAGGTGACATAAGATAAGCTTTTCAACCATCACAAAAGCTTGAATAAGCTTGCACAATGTGAAGTATAGTTTTTTAAACCTCCTCTACTTTCAATTTTATTTTGGGAGGGCAATAATTGCAATATTTTAGTAAGCAGATAACTCAGAATGTCATTTTTTCCAACCATCACAAAAGCTTTAATAAGCTTGGATAATGTGAAAGTATAGTTTTGTAAACCTTTAGCACTTTTTAATTTATTTGGGAGGACAATAGTTGCTATGTTTTAGTAAGCAGATAACTCAGAATATCATTTTTCTCAACCATCTCAAAACTTGAATAAGCCTGCACTGTGTGAAGTATAGTTTTGTAAACCTTTACAACTATTTAAAAAAAAAAAAATATTTTTTTTTTTTTTTAAATTATTTTTATTTTTTATTTTTTTTAGGGGGGGGGGGGGGGGGGACAATAATTGCCATGTTTTTAAGTAAGCAGATAACTCATGATATCATCGTGAAAGCCAGAAGGACATTAATGTTCTGTGTTCAAGTATATGAGTTAATGCCCTTCAGGCTCTCAACAGAGATATCATACAGTACTGGGTAAGGCAATGAAAATGTATACAAAAAATGATTTAATTAGCCTTAAATTCAAGCTTGTGCACAAGATTTGTGCATGGAATTGGAGGAGAATTGCATAATTACATCATATGTGATGGCCTTTACCAAAAATTCCTTGGTCTAAAAAAATTCTACCAAATTAAATAAACATATCAATCCACATATTTCATACAGTGCTATAAAATCTGTATTTACCAATTGAAAGAGTGAATTACAATTTATAAAAAAAGGTTGGATGACTTTATTTGACACTAATTGTCCAATTTCTTTTGTTGAATGAATGGTTAATTGCAGGATATATCATATGGTTGCTAATTAAGCAGGTGCATATCTTTCTAACCTTGAAATAAATGACCATGAGACAATGAGCATTATTACTACACAGCTGCCTAACGAACGAACAAACCAATAGTCCCAATCGTAGTATGAAAAAAGGTGTGTTTTCATTGGTGCTATTAAACACAGAGTGGATAAACGATTTAGTGTTATATTTCGCATATCTTCTTTCACATTTCCCCCCATCCAAATTTGCTTGTACTCAAAAGTCATTTAACACATCGTACAAAATATCTAACTTCATAGTGAAATGTTTATAATTATCTTCTATTCTGTGTCCAACTATAATTTTTGGCAAGTTTGTCGCCAACATGGCAAAAAACAGGAAGTTTTATATGTAAAAATAACTAGTAAAAAGTAAATTTCTTCAATCCTATATGATCATTGGGGCATTCGAGATGTAGTAATATTTCTATCATCACTGCTTCATTTATTCCCGTAGCTTTTGTGAGGATAATCTAAACGCGCCTTCTGGTTTTCCTACCTAAACGGCTGAACCAGTGGGAAAGAATAAAAACCACAGCAGTAATATCCCCGAAAATCAATCTATTATTCAAATGGTCCAAATGCCAGATGGACAGAGAAGTTAGGTTTGTAAGGGATGGAAATGGATCTATTATTTACAACTAAAATAGAAACATTTATATATAACTCAGATTTCTTTCAGATCTGTTTTTTTTTTTTACGGCGGCTTACAATGCAGTAAAGTTCAGGGTTACAACTTTATCACAATAAATGTCAATTAGGACTTAAAATTGTAATAAAGTCCAAGGTAATATTCCAACCCCCATCTCCTGGTTTTCTCCTGTGATCTGTACTTTGAGTACAGTGCCTAGATATTACCATAGAGGTAACGATGTCATGGATCAGTGTCAATAACGCTAATAGGATGCACAAACTGTGCTAAATTGAGATGCAGTATTCCTCTTGGTTTGAGAAAGGAAGCATCGATCCGAGGGCTACAGATTTGATTCATATTTGTCCACCTATCTCAAAATTGCCGTCTTATAAAAGCAACGATTGACTGAGATGATTGGGGTTAAACAATGCCATACGTGTTTATTGAGATGAAGATTGCCTGCTTCATCTGCACAAGAGTGTAGAGAAGATAAAGAGGAATCTTCGTAAATTTAGACTAGTTTAGTTTTGTCCTCGGGATACAAAGAGTTCTCTAATGCCCAGTGCACACTACACGATCCTTCTGCGATCTGATTTTCGAAGAAATGGCAATTACATTAGATATGGAAATCTGGATAATCATCATCTTCCCAATTTAGATTCTGAATGATAAGAATGTCAACAACCAGAATCTTAGTGCATTTATATCTTCCAGTCAGAATTTAATTGTAGAAAATCGCAAAAAATGGTGAGATATCACTACGGTTATGAGCCGATTTAGCTTTTCCTTTCCCCAAGCAAGATTCCAATCCCTTGAAAATTAGATTTTAATAAGCATATGACTAATCAGATCCTCATCATTCAGATTTTAGAAGTTTGAATGTTCATATTAAATGGTACTGCAAATTCTTCCAAACTCTGATCATAGTCAGATCAGATCTTACAGAATGCGGTGGGCTTAAGGTAACATTCTTATCTGTTTGCTAATTCCATGTTTTACACCACTGCACGCCCCCCAAAACACAGGAAAATAAAGTTTAAAACACAGGCTGAGGTAGCTCAAAAATTTGTGCAGCTACTGTAATACCCCAATTTTCATAAATTTCACAAGGTTAAAACTGCACCTTGACTCTCATCACTTTCGTGCTTACACATGCAGAACAGTGACAAGTGCAAGAAACAGAAATAAGTAAACACCCAATTTTTTCTTTTCCAGTGGTGGAAATGGTATTTCAAAAAAATGATTATCATTTTTTTTTAAAAGGTTTTTCATCCTCTCCCAATCTACCTTCTTCATCCCTGTCTCATCTCCTTTAACCTCGATTTCCTCAGCACCTGCAGAGCCTTGATTGGCATTGTTTACATTATCCATTTTTAAACCAGATCTATCTTTCAGTCCTTATCAAGCTTTTATCTCTTTGGCATTGATAAAATATTAATGCTTTATTTAATGAGACAGTCAGAGAAATGGGTATGAATCCAACCAAGTGACTAGATTTGGATCATAGAAAATCAGATATGTGAGGGAATACAATATCAACTGAGCTATAGAATTTGCAATTGGTATAATTTACAGTGTGTAAATTTAGGGCTCCCTTTTATTCCTTCTCTATTTTTATCACGAGTTCTGTAGATAACAAATGACTTAATCTCACAAATTTTACGGTGAATGTCCGAAACTATAATCATGTGATATTTGCTGAACATTTTTCATAGAAAATAAATAACGGCTGAAAGTACAGCATGTCATCTCGACACTCATGAAGAAATATTAGTTGTGCTTTCCAATTAATGTAACTTCCAGCGAGTTTTTGCTATATTTTAAAACATTTCGCTGGATGAAATATCATATTACTTAATAAAATATTGAGAAATAGTCAGAGTTGATTTCTCTATAAATTCAGTTTCATCTTCAGAGCTCAAAGTCAGCTATTAAAAGTTAGTGTTTGTATCATAGAGATCTATGGGACATTACCGTCACTTGTGAATAATGAAAACAACCCTATGCTATGTGTAGGTGCCTCAATTGTCATTACAGAGCACTCGGACAATAGGACTGGCACCCCTCGGCTGTGTACATGTTTTGCCTTGTAATCTAGGCATATCGATATGGGAGTTCAGGAATGGGTCATATAGAAAATAGATGAAGTATAGCTGAAGATGATGATGAAGAAAAATGAGGTATATGAATTCAACGATAATGATAAAGGCAAAGAAATGTGAATATTGGCAACAATATGAAAAGATGGGGGCAATTAAAAGAAGAAAAAAAAGAAAGAATTAATTCCATGTGAAGAGCTTATTGTCTCCTGGCTCTGAGCAGAAAACTTATTGAAATGGAGAAGGAAAATATCAAAACTTTCTGAAAGGTAAAATCTTCTAAAAGAGAAACTCATTAGCCAACTCCATAAAACATTGACTACCCAAAAAAAAATATTTAAAAAGATTTCATGTTGCAAAACATTGTTGATCTATTCTGCTACTGAAAATTTTCATGGCACTTCACTTTCTTTCTTACAATTTGAAGAAAATAGCCATTTTACGGGCAATAACTTTTTGCAGTTTCAGAAAATTCAGTGTGGTGTCCGTTGCAATTCAATCCTTTGAAAGCATGACACTTTCATGACTCTGTTCCACCTGCAAAATTTGCAAATATAATAATGTATGTAAAGTTTCTGGTTTGGTAAACACCACAGGCCGCACATATATGCATGGTCCTGATGCTGGACAGGGGATGAGGATGCAGGAGGGAGGATGAGGGGTGGGGGTGGGGGATGAGGTGATAGGAGGAGGGATGCACTCACCATCTTTTGACATGCCGACACCGAGACATTTTTTCCATCTACAGAGTTGACACTGATTCCTGGTATAGAGGGAGATCTCGCACTGTCCGTTGTTTGAACACGTGTACGATTCATGTTGGTTGAGACTCCGCCTGAAGAAACCCTGTGATCAAGATGGAAATTGAAGAAAAAATAGAGAGAACAATTATGATGATGTGTTTGTGGCTGGCTGGTTTAGTTCTACAGATAGTTGATCCTACAAAATCAAGTTGCAGTTAACAATGTCTTTTTGTACAATTTCCACTGGAAACATATTTTTTACACTGGGCAGAGTAATTAATGTTTTTAATACAAAGTGTCCGAAAAGTCTGAAAAGAAAGAAAAAAGTAGACAGAAAACATGACAGGGGTATAATGGCTCAGTGGTAGGGCAGTGGCCTCACAACTGGGAGATCCTATGTTCAAAGCCAAGTCAATGTATATGTATTTGTCAATATATAATATCATAAATCAGTATTAAAGTATCGTAGTCATCAAAACTCATATCCTTATCATATGGAGTGATTTCATTTCCAATCTCTCTTCCTAATTCATTGTGCTAAGGTTTTGCATGTTACTATTTTCCATTCTTTTTCCAAGAAATCTCTAACTACAATCACTAATTTGCGGGTTTTCATGCAAGCGGGGAATAAATTCAATGCAAGGTGTCAAACCTTAAAAGTCAATGTTATACGATGATTCAACCCCCGCCCACACTGTCACAATCACAATGCTGTATTTCATGATTGTTACACATATGGCTCTGGGCCTTAGCAAACGGATTCTTCTTTCTTTACATAACAAGACATCCATCACTCCTAGCCTCCTACATACTTCCAGGTGTCAATTTCACAATACCACATTACCACGAGCTCGGAAAATTGAAATAGAAAAGGTGCGATCGTTATCAGCAATATCCCTCTGCTTCTTGTGCGCATCCATCTTTTTACGATCCGTCACCTCGACATTACCCGGGCTTTATAATTCTTCAAAGGCAACGAAGATCGAAGCTAGCTCTGAGGGTGTGAAAACCAGTATCCTGTAATTGTCCCAAGTTTGAACTTCTCGCGGCCTTCGATGCTCTTCCTCCGAGATTGCCATTTGGCCGCTGCTAATCCCAAAGATCAGAATTTTCTAATCCGGGGATGACGCTTCATATTTTTCCGTCAACAATTCAACGTGACAGAGAGAGGATACTTCTGTCAGCGGGCATTTATTCTGAGGAGTCTGCCAATGAGCCGGGATTGAAAGTGAAGGTGATCACCTATTAAGGTAACATACTGAATGTATTTAACACTTACAAATGTACACTAACATTTACAGAAATCACGTTTGACACTCCTGATGCATCGTGAAAGCTCTGGGGCTGACGCTGCGAGAAGTTGGATGACATCCATTTTTAGCACTGGACGGCTAAACGAACTGCAATCTAGCTAGCTAGTGTGCTCCTCATGTTACATTCTATGACTACTAATATTCAGAAAGAGTGTATTCATCATAAAGTATTGTGTTTGAAATGACAGAACCTAAAATCCTTGAATACTTCTTTATTATCCCCATTAATTATTACAGATAAAACTGGTAAGAAAGTATCTCAAGAGGAGGAAGCTGTTTAGACTACACAAAAACTTGATCAAAGTCACCAAGGATGCCACTTTCCTGTTCACTTAAATAAATCATTGAGAAAGAGTAGTGAAAAGCACAATTATCATTGTAGAAAGAGTTCCGTGGTAACTTGTTACAAAGGTCTCTTAACATCGAAATGATATTTGATATTCATATACAAAAGGATGACATTCAATGGGTTTGCAATTAGATCTGCGGACTTGTTTGAGAGGCATGTATGTTTTGCAGAAAGAAAACTGTATATGACCCATCTCGTGTTACTCTTATGCACATACTTAGTCTGAGTGGGACTTGAAGAAGAAAGAGAATTTACAAGTGCTCTCATTAAAAAAAAAATCACTAGTTTTAGTTTGCCAAATCTAAAGAAAAGAACATTTGAGATAGAGCATGAAATATGTTGAGAGATTGAGAGAAAGAGAAAGAAAGAGAAAAAAAAAAGATAATGGGAGAGACGAATGGAGGGTGAAATAAAAAAAGAAAGCGAGCCTGAGAGTTGAAAGAAAGGGCAGGAGAATGGAAAATACAGAGATTAAGGAGAGAGAGAGAGAGAGAGAGAGAGACACTGAGAAGAGCAAGAGCAAGAGAGAGAGATTATATACTTAGAGAAAGCTTATAAGTGGAATTCTATATGTATGACAAATAAATAAAATCAAAATCCAATCTGATCTGGAATTATATAAAACTAAAAATATAATTTGCATTTACATAATTTGGAATTTCAACATAGAATATTGCATTAATTATTAAAGACATGCTTTAAAAAAAGAATTGTCACTCTTGGCCCTCTGAACGTCTTCTTGTGCCCCCCCCCCCAAGAATCAAAGCCCCTGCCCTCTTCCTGAAACTGCCCCTTTGAATATCTGATTTGGGGCCTACATGTACAGAGATGAGACTCCCAATATTCCAATATTTGCGAAATATGTCAAAGTTCAAACAAGTCATACGTTCATTAACACCCTGGCTATCGATCAGCTCATCTATCTCTACTTCTCCTACAAGAATTTTCTCACGATCTTTCTCCTGCACACATCTCTGACCACCGACAGATAACTAATTGATGCTCGGGCTAAAAGATTAACAAATTTGAGCGAGGGGAAGGAACTCGCGTCACGGACGGGAAATGGAATGTACAACTCGATTTCCAACGAGAACTTTACGAGAGGCACACTCGAGATGGGTGAGTTGGTAACGCGAGAGGTGCTTGTATGTGATGCCAAATTGAACTTCGTTGAATGTTTTCCACCTTCCTTCTTCCCTTTCTGTATCTTGTTTCCTTTGAAATTTTCCTTCTCCGCGCCGTGTTATCGACATCCCTTGCATGTCGGCGAGTTCCCTTAATACATTACTGTCCAAGTTTCTGGCTTTCTTCACTTGTTTTCTTGTTGTGTATTGACTATTCCTCCACCGATTTCATCAATATATCCATAGCACTATACTAAGAATATAGTTCAAGGCAACTTTTATTTCACAGAATCACTCCTCAACAATTGCCTTATATAGTTCAGTGCATTATACAATACTCTTTCAGCTCAAGAATGCTCGCCATTTATAGTCAATTTACATAAAATATATCTATTTATGAGAATTGTTTTTGAAAGTTGTTGATAATGAGGAGAGAAAAGGAGTTCATTTTCATAACAACTTACAACTTTAAAATGGGCTTGATACATTTTATTTATCAATAAAAAAAATAGAATATTCTAAATAATAGAATACAATTTTTTCCCATCTCCAATGATGAAAAAAGCAATGATGCTTCCTAACTACTGTTAATCATCACTAAAGGTACAATACAAAAATAGATGGTACTGCTACTGAGTTTAAGTTAATACTGTAGATACCTTTCCATTGAATAGATGGCATTGTCCATAACTGAAGGTGTATTTTGCACGTATTAGGCAACCATAGCGGTAAGTGAAATCATTGGCATCATTATCATGAAGTGAAAAAGAGCATTATCATGGGGGAGTAGCAGAACAAAGCCTGTTTCCTTGTGGAAAAATTGAGTCCCTACCCACTACACTACTAAATGATCATTGAAACCCACAATTGACCAGGCATTTGTTTCAGGGACATTTGCTCCAGACTTCGTTTGATGAAAAAAAGATGTAAAGGGCTAGGATTATATGATAGTAACTGGGTTTTAGGTTTAACAGTTTGAGGGTTAGGGTTATGACTGTAGTTGGGAATTTGGTTTGTGTAGAGAATTGACAACAGACTAAAGCATGTGTCATACAGAACCGCATAGTTCTTGTGGCAATGGGAACAGAATTCTGTAGATACACCAGCGAGGGTCAAACCGATTTATGAGACCCATCCTTTTCATACGAATGTGAAGAGGGCCGGCCGTGTCGTCAAGGCATTAAAGTCCCCTCAGAATGGACACAAGCACATGCCGATTTCACGAGGCCAATTTTCATGAGACCGATCAGCTTTATCATGTGAAGAGGGCCAATGTCCTCAAGGTGTTGAAAGAATAAAGTCACATAATACCTGATGTTTTGGCAGGTACGAATGGAGGATAAAGTATCGCTCGGAGAACGAATCCACTGATTTCCCTCCTGGTTTCCTGATTGTTGCTGGATTTAAAGGCAAACATAGCCAGGAAACTGGGTTTTAAAGTAAGTTACCTTAATACATCCCGGGCTCTACCATGACCTTGCTATTTCTCACAAACTACTAACAATATCGAGGTGTTTATAGAAATATATATCTTTTGTTTGGATAGTTAACTCCAGCAATGTTTTTCTTTCCCTGAAGGATGAACTTGAGAGAGATTTAAGGGATTCGAGTAGAGGTCAATGATTATCCTAAGATAATCTCTTTGGATAGCTATACAGGTAATAATGCTTTAATGCTTAAACTATTAAAATCAATCCCCAAGTAAAGCTTGTCCATTCTATTCTACTATTGTATTAATACAACCATTTAACTATCTCTATAGGCTCAAAATATATTCAAGGCGAGTGCTTTGGAGAATTCCAGAATTTTCTTCAGACATCCACGAATGTAAATATAATTTAGACAAAGAAAAAGCCACCTTATTTTTCAAAATAGTTTATATGAAAAGTTAAACTTTTTCTTATTAGTCCGTGTAATAACCACTCAATTATAATAATCAATTATTGCATTTATTTTCTAATAGCTAGACGCCTAATATAGTGAACACAAAACAAGTATCACAAGATACACTTAATGGGTTATAATCATTGCGACAAAACCCAATAAAGCCTTATAATTCTATGTTTGTCCCTTTACATCTGACAGCATCTCTTGCACTCGAAAATGTTTAATGTAATTTACTTTCATATTTTTATTAAATTCCTTTAAAATCTGAAATTCAACTTGAAATATCTACATTATCTGGTATTTTCAGGGCTATTCTTCATACAGGAATACATGCTACGGTGTTAACTCTAATCCTTTGTTTATGAAACCTCAACAAGCAAATTACAAAACAGAATTTATTTACTGGTGCAATATTTAATCAAATAGTGATAAAATAGGCAAACTCTGTTTTGTGACAAATGGGTGGAGATGTCACAGTCGAATGGTTTATTCACTAGACCGGGGAAACAAAGGTCATGCGGCTCTCGCACAGTACTCACATCCTTAAGCAAGGCATTTTATTTACATTGCTTCTCTCCACACCGAATGGAGTGGAGAATGTGCGCCATAAGTGCAGAATTATAATTGTATCCGATGCTCGGGGTAATAATACATTGCAAAGTGCTTTGATCAGTTACTTCAATGGAAAGTAATTATTACCATCATTTATCAAAAAAGTATGTTTCATGCAAATTTAGGGATAAGAGAAGCCATTGTTCGTTGCAGATCAACAGTGCATGACATAAGAAGAATTATCAGGGTAGGCACTATGTTTGGCACTGCTTTGTTGTATAAATTCTACCGCTAGAGGTCAGACAGAACTAATTGAAAAAAATGCTCAATTTGTGATATATTATGAAAAAAGTTTAAAATGTATCTTATGGAAACTGTAGCCAATTTGGCAAAAAATTGTATCTGTATTATATGAGAATATACAATTCGCAAGTATGTCACTCGAAAATCTCTTGAAGATCATTTGGCAAGATTATAATACAACAGTTTACATGGCAAAAAATAATTTCTTGCATGGTTCACAATATATCAACAAAACCCAAACCCCAACTGCATCGAGTCGGTGAAAATTACTTATGTAATTAGTCAATGTAATTAGTCAATACAGTGCCGAGGTGTGTGAATTAAAGTTGTCCTTGATAATAGAGGCTTAAATGGGAGCCATTTTCTCTATCGTAAAAATATTTGAACTGCCCTAATTTTGATGTTGCTGGTAACATTGGGGGAAAACTATTCTTGTGTGTGCATTTTTAAAACAACTACATTTGAGGAGAGGGGAGCCCTTAAAAAGAAAATTTTTCTTTTTTCTCTGCAATCTCCATGTATTTGGTAGTTCTTTTATTAGCATTATTTTTGTAAGCTATAACATACCATATGATGTTATGTTCCGAGAAACTGAGACAAAAATATTGTTTTGAGACAAAATCCAACCTGTTTTTCTAGAAATTGAAGATAAAAAAAGAAAGGACCTGAGCCTACCCTTGGGAAATTAGACCACATTACTACCAGTATATCATCATTCGAAAATACAGTCAAACCTGTCTATAGCGACTGCCTAAGGGAAACACAAAAAATGGTCTTTTGAGACAGGTTCCTTTAGTACATGTTTCAATGAGAAACCCTTTTCAAGGGAAACAAAAAATGGTCTTTATAGACAGGTTCCTTAAGTACATGTTTCAATGAGAAACTATTTTCAATGGAAACAAAAAATGGTCTTTATAGACAGGTTCCTTTAGTACATGTTTCAATGAGAAACCATTTTTCAAGGGAAACAAAAAATGTGGTCTTTGTAGACAGGTTCCTTTAGTACATGTTTCAATGAGATATTTTCAAGGGAAACAAAAAAACATGGTCTTTGTAAACAGGTGGTCACGGTTAGGTTTGATTGTATGTTCAAGATGACATTAGAAGGGTTTATTGAGCTTACCTTGCAGCCTTCACATGAGTGTATCCCATAGTGAAATCCTGTTGATGTATCACCACATACCATGCATTTTATGAGCTCATTCAGTTCATCTGTAACAATAAAAATAAAAACAAAGAGAAGACATTAACCAATTAGGCCTATATCATATACACACTGTCTCGTCAATGTACATTTAACAACTAAATTATTCATACCATTACCAAGTTTTGTAATTTTGAAGTATGTGAAAGATTGATTCGTCCTGATTTATGCTTCTTGAGAATGTGACATTGAAGCTTACATCTAAAAGTATTCAACAAATTAAGGCCCTAATGTCACCTTTTATTCTTGAGTTACGAAAAAAACCCAAAAGCATCAAATTTACAAGGGGTATGAATAATGCAGTTATTAACGGTATGTGGGGGACAGTTTAAAGGCAGCGTAACGTAGAAGTGTAAGAATCAGGGCTGATTAATTTACAAACATTAATAAATTTAAATTTATTAGGCCAGTTGCAAGTAGGTGCTGTAAGTTGTCATTTCTACATTGTCATTAACTGACTCCAGATAAACAAAAGTTTGCAAATCTGTGAAGACTTAATTTGGGGGGGGGGGGGGGGGAGAGGGGGTTATATAGCATCAGCCTACAGTGATCAATGTTAATTATACTATTGATTTCAATTAACCATAGAAAAGTTCATTAATAATTTGCATCACATATGATAAAATGGTATGAATTATTAACTCTTTATCGGTTCGTTAAGGCACACAAATTACAAATAAGCCAAGTGTGAAATTGTTATGAACGCCTACTACTTCGTATGGACAAAATGGCGAAAGTGATACAAAAATCATTTTAGAAATGATCAAACATATATGTGGGACACTGTAACCATTATTTCATAAGATGCAAAGACATAGAGCAACATAAAACAATCACAGACACAAAACAGGCCAATTACACCCATACCAACGGAGAGATGACAGAAAGATACACGGATTCAATCATGTTCGCTCAGACCCAGAAGGACATTAAGTCACATACTTTTATGTTTTATAACCCTGACTTGATACCCATCTGGCTTTTAACAAGCACTGACATTCGCTGACGGTATAGACTCTGACATAGGTTCGGGTCATCTCTGTCGATCAGAATGAGGGTATGGTATGTTCATTAACACCTATTAGGACTATACAAACAGTATCAGGGAAATGCATTATCTTAAAATCTTAATATAAAATTGGATTATCCCAATTACCCCCCCCCCCCCCCCCCCTTCCCCATCAATTCCCATTTTATATATTTTGTAGGGTAAGGTTGTATATTATTCTCAAATATATACCAAACTATCACTATAATCCTATTAACACATTGGATACAATTTGATTTTGATGTAATAGGCATGCATGTACAGTATACTAGTATAGTACAGTACAGTGTAATACAGTGTAGCATAGAATAGTATAGTAGAGCAAAACATATTCAACCCTTAATGTAAAATTAGTTATTTTATTTCAATGTTCCTGAGCGTTCCTTGCAAACTGAAATAACAGAAGACATCTTTTCTACAGAATAAGAGTATTCATCCTAAATTATCAATGAAGTTTAGGGAACTGAGCCCCACCTAAATGGTACGCAGAGACGCACCCAAAAATACTAAAGGAATCATCAATGAAAATCATTACTTTGGCGCATAGATGCAGAACCATAATATTTTAATCTAAAAGTAGTATGCCCGTACAATTTGATTTTACAAAGATACACATGTCAATCTGATTTAATAGTCAGATCACAATTTTAGATGCACTGACATCACCAACAATTCTATCCTTTGCGTTGAGGGTGCGTCTTTATGTGCAACTACCGTTTGCTATCAATGCTATTCTATTTATGATGTATTCAGTTTTCTTCAAATACTTTGCAGAGTGTGAGTGTGGTTACGACAAAAATGAAAGTAAACCATTACATTACGCAGTTTGTATCTGAGAGTCAAGTTCAGTAGTTGAGAGGTTGCTGATACAAAGATTTAAGTGCAGAGTCATAAATCTTGAATGGTTCATGCATACCGCATTTCAAGTTGAGCTTCATTTGTCGACAAAGTAGTGTTTGAATAGACATAAGTACTTCTATCCAAAGAAAAGGAAGATTCATTTCCTATTTCTCTATCTTCCTAAATACCCATTCAGCAAAACCATTCAGCACAACCAACCAACTTGAAAAGAAATCTAGATACAAATTTCCTAAGTTTTATAAAGATACAATTGTGAGGAAGGAATTAAAAAGGGATTTGCATCTGCTCATCATTTCAAGCAGCATTACACATTTGGCTCAAGTTTTAATCCTTGAATTGTTAAACCACAATAGGAGCAAAAAGAGGCAATTTTGACAGATTTTATTGCCTGGATGTCTATTTTACTTGTTCACGTAAGTATGACATCACTGTCTCCATTGAGATCGACCCTGCCCTTGAACCTAAAAAGCAGCTAATTGCGATGCAACAAAGAATTGAACTTGAGTACAGAAAAAAGAAAACTGCGACTGCCTTAAGAGAATTCATTTTTTCTTCTTAAAAAACACACACACCCATACAAAGCATGCTTATAGTTTCCCCTGTAAATCATACTCAACACAGTTATAATTGTGGAAGAGGGCCCTCTATGAGCAATATGAATAACACTTCCACACAAGTTGACAATGTGTAGATTATTGAAAATTACAGTTCTCATTTTGCATAAAAATATATGTTCTTAGTCATGTAATGAGAAAAAGGGGCATTTATCACATGAACCAAATTATTATTTTCTTTTTCAAATTGGATTAATAATGCTGTAATTATTGTGACCACTATAATCACCAAAATTAAAATAAATGCTGATTATTAAAATGATTATCATGATCAATCTATAAGACTAGCTGTGCCATCACAACTAAGGCTACTGGGTCATTTTAAAAATCATGATAAGTTTGTCAGAAACATTATACTTTTGATATTCTTGTTATAGTCAAGTCCAATGGGCCCTAATGTCCGTTGAAAGAAATACTTAATCTATTTCATGGCATTACTTAAAATCAAATATTTCAATTTCTATCTACTTTCTATCTGTAATTATTTCATCCTAAGAAACCATTATTCTGTATAAGTGATAGTGATATACAATTTCATATTTTCATATTAATAAATGTCTATTCTAAAACCATATTATACAATTTCTAATGTTCTTTATCTGCAAAACTAGCAACCATTTATTGATTTGTAAATCTCTACGTCTCTTAAAACTTTGAAATTTGAGATTCATTCAATAATTTTTCCAAAAAGCAATTCTGTATTAAAAAAAATAATATTCTATGTACCTTACAAAACTAATTACATTTCCATCTTAGTTTCTTTGTGTATCTTTTTGTTTAAATAGATCAATATATATATTTATTTCAGAAACCTTCAACTTTTGGAGTATATCACAATGTCGTTTGAATCAAAACCATTTAGCTGGAAAATCACCAACGCTATCTCCTTTTATAATCTTTAATATTCATTTTAAAAAAGAAGAAAAAGAAATACAACCTATATCGTTTCAAACATACAGTGTAGATAAAACTATAGTGAAACTCTTGAAACTGTTTCACTATCTTAATGAGATTTTCTTGACATAGTCAATTGGACAATGTATTTTGATTTTGTTTCTCCTAATATCACCCCATTCTTTTTTTAAATGGTTAAATATGAACCAGAACTGTTGAGGACAAGCTATATCAGGGCGTCTCTTGCTACGCTGTATAAGCAAAGAAACATTATTGATTTAGGTAAAGCAAATACTACTTGCATAGCACCTGCTTTACTAGCCCTGGGGCAACAAGATACGCAATGCAGCATGTAATTCACAATGATCACTCAGTGGTGAAATTGGGCAAGCAAACCCTATCCACGACTGCTTTTATTTCATTTCGAAATGTGATTGACAAATGCAATCAGAATAATGTCCAGTAAGCGGACATGCTTAGCGCTGCACCTGTACGTTAAGTACCATATTATAGCGTAAAAATCTTGAAGATGAGGGTATCGCCCCGTAAAACATTTAAAAGAGTCATAGATAAAAACAAAAGGCTCAGGTATTTCATGTTTTAGTTAAGGGTAATAAATCCAGAACCTTTAAGATCAACTTAATATCTTGGTGCAGTATAAATAGGAAAGATACTTATCTTTGCTGCTTGAATTCTGAAGAATTTCTCAACAAATTCTTCCCAAATTTGCTCAGAAAGCACAAATTCTAGTTTGTTTCTTTTACAGGTAATACATTAGAACTGTGACGCCCCCTCCCTAGTAAAAAAAGAAAAAAGAAAGAGAGAAGAGAGAGAGGAAGGACGAAGCCTTAATACGATAGACCAATCTGTTATCACATTACCTGCATGCAAATAGGTCTTCATCCTCACCACTGCACCGTCACTGCGGTAGTAACGAGGGATCATCGATCAATGGCTAGGGATGACAATCCCCACAAAACTTATTCCGCACGTGTCCCTGAATCCCCCCGAGGCACAAGCTTTTCCCCCCTTTTCCTCTCCGCCTATTCAAAGCTTCCAGGTCATAATCACACACTCTGGATAAGGGAACATTCCTGCCGACTGGGGACAAAAGCACTAATGAGTCGCTGGTGGAGAGCGAAGAGGGAAGCGGGATGATGCCACTTCGACATGCACAAGAAGACAACAACCGAGGGGGTAATCTCGGACGGGATGGCTCACAAAACACCGTTTTTGTTTACTATGCTGTGATTATGTCACAAGCATATCCACGTGGAACTCACGTCAGGAGGGCCCTTGGCTGACAGACGACAATAACACCAGTGGAATGATCCATTCCTATTATCAACCAGGAATTAATCCATTTGTCTCATGGAGCTACAGGTACTGGTGGTACATGAGGCATCCCCTCATTGCTCTATCGGTGGCGGCGGCAGCGGCGGTGGCAGTGTACTGCCAGTGACAAACGCTGAATGAAAGATCTTTACAGAATGACCTTGAGAATTCTCTGAGTATATCCGAGTGTTGATGGACGCAGTCATAGATTAGGGAAAAATCCTGTGTTACGAAAGTATAGTGTCATTGCCGGTGA